ACCACGTATGTGGTGATTGATTTTATACCATGCACACACTGCCACCAATGTCAATGCCCATGAATGTAGTGTAACCCATGCATAAATGCAACACAATGTGCAATTGCCTTTGGTACCATTTACAATATCTATTACATAATGAATGTAATATAATGACATTTTCAACACAATCCCTAGCATGTTATCTAAGATAATCAACCTAATTAACATGTATTCACCTAGACATTTAAACAAACACCTAGATGATACATCAATTTACACAACTAGCATGCTTATTATTTCTAACATGACAACATGATTATTAATTCTATAAACATAAGCACAAGTCCACCACACTAATCATATGTTAAATAATCATTTAGCATACATACTATTTCATAATCACATAACAAGCTAATAATTTTATTAAACTTGATATGCCATTAAAACATCAAATCATGCTAATGTACAATTAACATGTTTAAACCACTAACATTAACTTACACTAAGTTAATTATGATAGGATTTTACTAATTACAAAGTTAGTTATAAATTTTATATTTAACCTACTAGTTACACTAGTCAAGACCTAACATGTGATATATACCCTTAGCCTACACATTTCATATGTTATATTTTAGGTTGAAATTATATCTAAATAGGGAAAACCCTACTTGTCGTAACGTGAGCCCACGTAGTAAAACTCTAAGGAAAACCCCAATTTAGCAAGCCTTAGTCCTACATTCTGGTCTTTGATATTTTTGGAGAAAAAATGTTATCTTTGGTGTGGTTGCATAACTCTCGTTGCGTAGAGCAATTTTAATTCTTGGCCCGAAACGATTAAACTGTTTGATCTTCGTAAATATGAGGAAGAAGATCAAAAAATTTACTTTTTTCCTTTTCTTTTTCTTTGTCTCTCTTTTCTATCTCTTTGTCTGGCTGAACATTGGAGTGCTGCATAAGTGGAAGACTTTTTGTCTTCCACTTAATATCTATATAATAAAGTGGAGCTGAGCTTGAATCCAGAGACAAAAAGAGGTCCAGATCGTTTTGAGACAAAACATAAATATATCTGACGGACAATGGACAACGTAATCCCAACATAAAAGACGATTCAGATCATCTCATGAATATTGATCTGACGGTCATAATTAAACTTAACTCTAATACTCCTATCTCTCATATAACTCTTTCTCTTATCTCTTAGACTTTTTAAATATACTATCTCATCTTCTCTCTCTATATATCTATATAATAAAGTAACTAGATTATTTATCTTTAGCTTTTCGCGACTTAAATTGTTTTGATCTGATGGTTCTAATTAGACTTTCATTCTTTTTACAACGCTAAGTCTCTCATATAATTCTTCTTATCTATCTATCTATCTTATACTCTCTCTCTCTCAGACTATTATCTTTTTTTTTTTCTCTTATGTTGTTTTTGCTATTAGCTACTCTATAAAACATATGAAATTACATGTCATCCAATTATTTATTCATTGAAACTAATTCAAAATTTTTATATATATGACCGTATGTATTTTGTCATTTGCTTCTTAATTTGTAAATAACATTGAATGTAAATAAAAAATAGCACATTGACTATAAACACCAAATAATATTTAACATAAAATGAACCTTAAATTATAAATTAATATATATTTTTATCAAAAATTGACACTTAATTTTCTCTAATTTATATTCAACTTTATCGAATATCAAATTAATATTAAAATTTATTTAATCAATTTTTTGGAGTACTAAATTATATCAATTTTTGAGTACTAAAACAAATTTTATTTTATTTTATTAAAATTTTAATTTTTTTGGTACTAAATTTAGAAAAGGATAAATGTAAAAATAATTAAATTTTTTAGGATAAAATTATCAATTTTCGTTTGCAATATTAACAAAAGGGAGACAGAGGGGGTCTTCGTGCAATGAATAACAAACCTCAGGGGGTCTCCGTGTTATTTATAAAATATCATTAAGTGTTCGTGTAATATTTTCAAAACTAAGAAACATTCATGATTTTTAGTTTTTTTTCCCTATTTTTTAGTTAAACATTAATATATTATTATTTTACCTTAAAAAACTTAAATTATTGTATTTTTAATAAAAACAATTATTGGTTATAAGAGTTTGTTAGTAACCAAAAAAGAAATGTGTGAGTGTGTTTTTGTGTATATTTATATGCGGAGGATTGAATATTTAGCGATTAAATTTATAATTATATTGTGTCATTTTGGGGTTGAATGATGATAGTGATGATAAATTCATGAGTTTATAAATGAGCAAAATTTGATTGATTTTATATACCGTTTAAAGATTGCAAATTTAATTGTATTCTGTTATATATATATATATATATATTTTTTTTTTGAGGTATTTATTACATAGAGATAGAGTGGATTAGAAATATGGTAGTTGAGTTGATAATTATGTTGTGTTATTGGATGAAGTAGTAGTAGAGGTGATAATTCGTGAGTGTTAGAAATGAGCAAGATTGCAAATTTTAATGGATTATGTTAGTATTTTTTTTCATAAGCATTTGTATATATGAAGTTATTTTAGAAAGTTTTTATATGTTTTTATAACAGTTCTATTAATATGGAGGATATAATTGACAATATATTTTGAGCCATTTTAAAAAAAGAATTTGTATGAATATTTTTAGGCCATTTCTTTTGAATTTGGACAATTGTTTAAAAATAATTTATTTGTTGTATAGTACCTTCAGGCACGGGTAATAACTAGTAGTTTTAAATATTTGGCCTACATTGCGCCACATGTTCAATTTTATTACGAATCAATTAAATCTCGTCTCATATTAAATTTAATATATTTTTATTGAAATAACTTTAAATTATTTTTTGGGTCCCGCGAATAAAATCTAATCGCAATTTTTTTAGTCGCACGACACCCGATCACTTTGTAACACGTGAAAGATCCTACTTTCTCATACATTTTTTCCTTTTTTTTTTCTCGGATTTTACATGTGACGTAGTACGTGAAATTTGTGACAAATGGGATGTTTTGAATCCGAGATATATTGCTTTGACCTATTCAATTCATGGACTTTCAAATTGCGTTTTGAAAAATGATTTGGACATGATGAATATGTTTGTACCGATGCATGCTATTCAAATGAGTTATTTTGAAGTTTCAGTAGTTGAATGAGGGAATGAGTTTTGTGAATTTGTGGATTTCTGAAGTTGTGGAAAATGTTGGATCAACTGATGATGGATTTGATACCAAGCATGATCTTCTCCCTCATTTTTTTTCTCCCACTGAGAAGGTGTTTTTGACTAATAGATGGTCAAATGCTATAATGAAGGTTGGTCAGAAAATTGAAGGCAATGTTTTTGATTTTTGGAGTGCTTTATGTAAATATGCAATTACGGTTGGTTTTCAATTTAACTATGTTAAGAATGAAAAAAATGAATGTGTCTCGAAGCACTCTGAATGTGATTGGTATGTTATCGCTTCTATCTCAAAGGTTAATTGTTGATTTTACATCAGAAAATTAAACAATGAGCAATGGGGTCGCAACACAAAAAATAAAAGGATGACTTCTAAGTTGATTGGCGAATCGATTGTTGATCACATTCGACAATGTCCTGTACATGTCCAATTGATGTGGTAAGGCAGATTATGGTTTGAGAATACCATATAATCAAGCACGCATGGGGATTGAAAAAACAAGGGGAATGTTTTTAGGGATTATTCGTTATAATACCAACAATTACGTTGGTATATGGATGCTGCTAATAACACCAATCTAGGCCGTCGTGTTGTGTTGGAATGTGACTCGGACACATAGAGTTTTCATAGGTTGTTCATGTCGATTATGACTTGTAAACATGGGTTTAATTTTTATTGGCCCATCCTATATGTTGATGGTACATTTTTATAGGGGTGGTATAAAGGGAACATTTTGTTTGCCACAAATAAAGACAACAACAAGGTGAATTTGATTAATTTTTTTGTTTGTACGTTTGAGAATTTTTTGTTATTAATCGTATTGTGTTACGATTTTTTGGCGTTACTGTTTGATGTTACTACTCTTTGATTTGTTACAGGTTTATTTCTTTTGGCTTTTGCGGTGGGTAATTCAGAGAATGAGAATAATTGTAATTGGTTATTGCAGCAATTATTTGAGATTATAGATCATTTTAAATAGCTTACAATCATGTCTAATCGTAATGTTGGCTTGCTTGAAGCGATGCCAAAAGTTTTCTCAAAATTCCACTGTTCTTTCTATTTGTAACGTCGTGGTGGGGATGCTAAATATCTTGGTGTGACTATACGGGATTTGTTATAGCACTTGCCAATATGTTTCGGTGGTAAAAGAAAAAAGCAATAATTAGAAAAATTAATTGGACTCGTATCCCAAACTCTCAATTTTATGACACTAAATTGAAGGCATAAGTAGACTAGAAAGTTAGCAGTGATCCAGTTCCAACTTAGTATTAAATGGTAGATTTTACTAACATTTACACTGTCCCAGAAATCTTTGATAAAAGGCAGAAAAGGACATTGTCCCATATGTATTGTAATACTCTCTTTTTCTTTGTTTTATTTCTCTCCTTTCTCAAGTCCTCAAGTTGATACTCTTCAAGTCCATACTAACATTACTAGGTTTTCGCATTCCAGGTCATATAATCATGGTCGGTACTTGAGAGTTTGAAGAGGATAAGGTTGATTCGACGGAGTTATAACAAACACTCCTGGTGCCAGAAATTTTGAGGCCACTACCACTACTCAAGAGTGTATTCTTCCTTTTGTTTGGAACTCAAGCAACTTAGTCCCCACATTAGTAGAAGTGAGCGGCTAAGTTACCCTACTAATGTGTTTTATAGTAGGGTATAATGGGCGAGCGTGTTAGCAAAGAGATTTAGGCCAATGGAAAAGAGAGTGTCATGCGTAGCATTCATTAATTCTACTAGACTACAAAAAGATTACAAGTCACTTAGCTCCACTTTAGGTTGGGATTATTTATTTTGAAGCAATTCAATTCTTTAACAATTTGGGATACAAAACAAACTCTTCTCCAATATTGCTAAGAGAGCTAAAGATACATTACAACATTGCCACACCGATCAAGTTTTTACCACTCCATGTGGACCAGATGGATTAGTTGGACTGAATCGGTCATCCAATAGTTGTGGTTGCGCCACGTCAATTAGTCGATAAGAGTCCTCCTATTGGAAAGATTAATGTAATAACTCTAAAACCACGTAATAAGCAACTAACACAGGAAGGGACACAATTGTGCCGAAGATGACCCTGAAATTGAATAGCACAACAGTAAGAGTCAAATTTGAATATGCAAATGTAAATTTTATACTTCCATTCAATTTTTCTGCATCTATTTTAAAAATAGAATTTGTAATATGAAATAATGACTACTATATTTTAATTAACTTACGCTGTGCTAAGTACATCTACATGCAAGCCATATTCTCTGGCAAAAACGAAAGAGGTGAGGGATTGTGGCAATGCTGCCTGTAAAAGCAATAAACAATAAAATCAACCAAGAATATTCATTATGTTGTCACATTATAAGTAGTGGTTCTAATACAAGGGTGAAAAAAATAAGCATATAAATGATATCATAGCCGATGGTTAGTAAGAAATATGAAAGGCGTAAGAGATATTCATTGAAAATTGATGGAGTTTTCAATCTCTTTAGTTATGGTAGAACAATGGCATGTTCAATCTTCAGCGGTTGCTTTTGATGAATTTTTTTAAATTAAAGAGTAACCCTGTGTAGCCTATACTAGGGTGAAGGAGGGTCTGAGCCACTATGCTTTTTTGAGGACCGAATCCAGATCTTAAAAGAAATATATTTCAAGACGTTCTCATAATAGAAAGTTTTGTTAATTCTACATGCATTAAGGTCATGTTCGAATCCCCAAAATGAAAGGAATGCTTTGAAAACTACAGTACATAAAGCCTGTTTTGGAGCATTACTTTGGTTTGGCTAGTCTTCACGGCATATGGCTCTTTAAGCCGGATGGCCTTTTTTGTTTTTGTTTTTGTTTTTTTTTATTGTGTTTTTTTTTTCTGTTCAGACTTTAAGCAGACTCATAACAAATATGTTTGTGATGATTGTCGAGATGATTAAATGTACAAGTTCCTTATGGCAAGCAAGTTGGGATAATTATATACCTGGATTATAGAAACATGTAGTACTTCACCTCGCAAGCCAACGGCAAAAGAACCAATAGCCATGGTGGCTGGTGCGCCAACAAATCTCAAAATCATCCCAAACATAGTCAAGCTAGCACCACAGGCGATTATTTTTTCTTGCAAAGCCATGAATAACCCTGCAGCAAATCTGCACGGGTTAATTCAGTTATCAAATAAAAGACGATGTATAAACCAACATGTCCAGATTTCAGACATCTTGAGGTTTACCTGAAATTTTGAAAATTTTAATATTTTGTAGGACTTGCCCCAGTGAAAAGTTCGTATACCCTCGATGCCTACATTAATGGGCTAAATACCTATGGCCTACACTGATATATTATTATGGTAATTGAATACAAGGAAATCAAACCTAGTTATAGGGTAAGTACGCAGCCATAATGAATTAGATTTCAATAGTATTCATCTTTACAAAATAGAGTGAGGTTATTCCCACCCCACAAATTTTCATTCTCATCTCATTATTAAATTATTAACTGCATCCCTTCAATACCCACCACATTAGTAACTAAGTTTATTTCATGCTACATACACCCCATTAATAGTTAAACTCACTCATTTTATATACACTCTTTTAGTGAAAGACATCACCATAAGAAAAAATAATGAAAGAAAATAATTAGTTTGAAAGTATAAATATATTTATGACAAAAAAAAAAAGAAACAAGCAAAACTAAATCAAGAAAAAAAAACAACAAAAAACGGAACAAGTCAAAAAAAAAACTAAGCATGGTGAAACAAGAGAAAAGGAAAGAACGAAACAAGAAAAAAAAAAAGAAAGAAAGAAGCGGACCAAAATAAGAAAAAAAGAAAAGAATGAAATAAGCAAAAAACAGAAAAAAAGAATCTAACTGAAACAAAAAGGAAAAAAAAAAGTAAAGATTAAAGAAACAAACAAAACTATAAGCCACAAAATCAAATATGAAAAAAAAAAAAAAGTACCAAACACATACACAAAATCGAACAAAAAAAAAAAAAACATAGATGCAAAACCTTAACAATATAAAAAAAAATAACAAATAATTTGAAAGTATGTATATATATATATGAGACGAGATGGAGAATAAAACCCTAATTATGACAAAAAATAAAGTTGGTTTACTTATTAATAGAGTGTATGTAGCATGAGACGTGCTTAGTTGCTAATAGAGTGTAACAACATAAAAAAAAATAACAAATAATCTGAAAGCATATATATATATGAGATGAGATAGAGAATAAAACCTTAATTATAACAAAAAGTAAAGTTGGTTTACTTATTAATGGAGTGTATGTAACATGAAGTGTGATTAGTTGCTAATAGAGTGTGTATATAAGGGGTGAGTTTAGTAATTTTATAATGAAAAATTAAATGAGGTGAGAATGGAGATGCGTGAGTGAGAATAGCCCCACCCTACAAATTATGAGATAAATTATATCTCTAATCTGATTATGTATAGATAATAAAGATCTTGATATACAGATCCAGTCATATCTCTAAACAGTTTAATATTTAGAAAATTTGTGAGTTTCTGGTAGTGTGATCATGTGCATGTTTGGTACAAAAAAAAAGAATCAGCTTTCCCATTGGTTTTGAGTTGGATAGTAAACTAAGGACTTATCTGCTCTAGGCCCATCGTTCTTTGTGTATTCAGTTGCTGGGTCAGTGAGTAGTATATGTATGTTTGATTGAAAAAACCTAGTTTTATAATTTAAATTATGTTTGAACTTGCATCACAGATAAGTTCGGAAAAAAAATTAAAGGATAGTTTGATTGGAATTGAACAATCTGGTTTCATAGTTTAAAATTTTCCTATATCTATCTTATTAGATCCCTATGAATAGACTTGTGATATATTGAATTTTTGTAGATTTTTTTTACTAATTTTTTGATATCTATTTTTGTTATTTGGTCCTTATAAATTATTATTAAAAAATCAGTGATTAATATTGAGATTGAAACACTTTTATTTTGATACAAATATTTTTGGTCAAGTCTTGTGTGTAATTTTATAGTATTTATTTAAAAAAAATTAAAATTTATATAGAAAAAAAAAAGATATTACAGTATAACTAGAGACACACTCAAGTAAGTTACATTCTCCAGTAGGGCTACCAGAGTTTTAGGTTGACAGTAGATCGCACTATTAATTGAGATTCTTTATCAAGTAAATGACTATGATCAAATAAAATCCATACCCCAGTTACTCTGGTCTGGAGGAAAAAATGCATTCATGCATAGGTAGGGAGGATGAACTTACCCAAACTAAACATGCCAGCTCCAGCGCCAGCTCTTGACATGATCAATATGGATCCTTCCACAATACTCGGCATTTTAAGATGCCACCTAAAACACATACAGAAAATAAAACACTAGTAATAGCTTGCGTTAAGAATGTTCTTGCACCCCAAGGAAACCCTTTGTTACATACCTGTTTGATAAAAAAGCCCAAGCGAGGCCAATAATACAGGCATAAGAGTTAGGGTTCTTGGCTAGTTTTAGCCACACTATCTTCATCACCAACCAGGAAGATGGATTTTCTGTCGCCACCAAGTTGGTGCTTCCTTCCAAATCTTTCCCTGGTTCCCCGTGAATGACGCCTGAGTGTGTGGTTATCGTATTTTTCAAAAAATCAGTCTTGGTACGTCTCAATTCTAACATGAACAATAAGACCATAAACCATAAAATAGACTGCACCACTGAGGACTGGATAACAAGATCCATACCCTTCTGGCCATACATGGCTTTCATTAGAGGAACCCCAACAACCAAAGTGTTATTTAATGCAGATAAAGAGAAGCTTGTGATGGACCAAGAATAGGCTCCATGGCCACTGCAATTAGCCCACAAGGCAAGAACTAAGAGAACAAGAAATTTGGAAATGGTGTCCGCCGCGATGAAGTGATAATTCATTTGAAACGGATTGACATGGGCGGTGAACTCGAAAGTGAAGAGAGGGAGGATGAAATAGCAGGCGAAGAGGTTTATGGCGTTGCACTGTTCAGGTGTAAACATGTGCCACCACTTCACAGAGCTATACCCTAAAACCAGAGCCACATAGAGTGGCACCATGGCCACCACCACCTTGTAAATATCTTCCCACCCTATCATCTTTGCTAACTATATGACAATTTCAATCTCTTCAAATTAATTTAGGGCCTACACGGGTTATATGTATGTTTGTGGTTCTACACTGTGGTGAAAGTTTACCCGAATATATTGATAAGAGCATCTCTAACCTGACTCAAATTTAGAATTAAATTTAAATTTGAATAAAAAAGTTCAAAAAATTAACTCCAGCTTTTGAATCAAATTTATACCAAATTAAAGGAGATTCATTTTTTTTTACTCAAATTAAGGAAGATTCAAATTTTTTCTTAAATCTTTAATGGTGAGATTTCATCATTTTTTAAAGATCTAATGGTTACTTTTACTCTTTTTTAATTTTGTGTTTCCGTCGTTTAAATTTGAGTTTTTTTTTTTTTTTAAATTTAAGTTTGTCTATTAGAGCTTTTATATCAAATCAAGTTTTTTACTCAAATGTTGATTTAAATTATAGTAAAAATTTGAGTTATGGTTGAAAATGCTCTAAGAAATATGTTATTTGGTTCTAATTTAAGGATCTAATCAATTATAATTTTTAGATTTAAAATTACCACAATCTAACATTTAAATTCACAACTAATGTAATAGTTGTATTGAAGTTGATTCTCAAATTAGATCCCTGTAGGATTGCTTGATTAATAGTGCTAATGGGTAAGTGTTCCTTACCATTCGGGATGTGAGAGTAATTTTTCAGTGAACTTAATATCTCTGGCTATGAGAAAAGCAATCGTCTTTGTAGATTAAATAAGTTGAGCAATTGTCTCTGGAGACATGCTCTATTTTTATTTTGAGTATGATTTGAGCTATACTGTGATGCAGAAGGATTTTCTCGTGTACATCATACTATAATATTCTCAAAGCAACAATGTATTGGTTGCAAAATGTAATTGTTTTGGAAACAACCGTCTCTGCTACTACCTCACAGACTTTGTAATTCATTTTTTTCTTTGCTAACCAGAAGACATCTACATCTCTTTGAACACTTGACTAATCTTTCTGGACATGTATAAACTTCTCATTTGACCTACACAATGCAATTATTAGTATGAATCACTGTTCGTTGTCCCAAAAATGAATTTGAACTTGGCAACTCTAGTTTTATTAAGTGGGCATACCTTTTAAATTTGTTTATCCTCTGGGTTCGCTGAATTTGTCATTTTAAGCGACACTTTTTGTTCTCTACTTGATTATGCATGTGGCACTATCTCAACCCCATGAAAGCATGTAAGTTTAGCTCCACTAATGCTTAGAAATGGGCTCAACAGAAGAATGGTTGACACAATAAACAAAAGCAAGATATCCAAGAACACTATTCACACATAGTTTGGTGGAAAATTATATCACTGTCGTTTTGGGAATCCACACAGCATAGAATCCTACAAATAATGGAACCTTTGATCATTATGCCTCTAATATCTAGTGAACTAGAGAGATAAAATGATACATATGCTCTGACATCAGAATATTTTACTAGTGGCTGTAAGAAGTCGACTTTCCCACAAACTCCATTCGTATGTACTCAAGAGAATAAGTCTAAGTTATTTGATCCTGTTAAGTGGAGAGAGAATTCAACTTTTTCACGTCTACATATTCCCATTGTTTACGAATGTTGTGTTTCCTTTTTTTTTTTCCTCCATAATAAATAAATTTAATTCCCAAAAAAATTGCCAAATTATGGGTGTTAGTTTGGTATAAGAAATTTCAAAGTTCAAGTATTGGAAATGTATCAAGATCCAAGAATATTATATGAAAATTAAAACCAGTATTAATTCAGTCTTAATAAAATATGAACAAAATATAAGACTAAATAATTTTTTCATAGTACCTTTCAATTCAATCAGACACTAAAGAAAAACACTATTTCTAAAATGTCTATAATTGATTAATTATAAATTTCTTAGGATATTTATTTTTTATGTAGACAATCAACAATATTATGACAAAATCATCATTCATCTTGTTGCAAGTCTAGCTGAGATTATTCTTCATCTTGTTGCAAAATTGATTATAGAAGAACATAAATGCATTGGGGTCAGCATATTTTACAATTTATATCTCATTGTGATTTATTGGGTAAAGATCACTCATTTACCCAAAAGAAATCAAGAGAACCTATATAAATGTTATTAAAAAAAATATGGGATGTTGATCCCAAAAGCAGCACAAATGGATTGTTTGTTGATTTGGCAATCTCCAACAAGCTCCTGCAAGGAAGTCGAAGACCGGTGGGGCTCCAGAGGTCGACCCTCTGATGATTAAGTCAGTAAAGGTGAAAGGAATTGATTAGAGTTGAGCTAGGAGAAATTGCTTACTTCGTTCCTTGGTTGCCTTTCTCCTTTATAAGCTTTCATCTCCCTTTACCGTTGGGGGTTCTCTCAACTACTTTTCAAATGAGATGCCCCAGAAAGTGGAACTCCCTTTCAATAGCTGAAGCTAGTTTGAGCTATTATCCTTGAGTGAACAGATTAATGATGTGGTTAGGATTTATCGGGTAGGGTGCATCTCACCAGATTGCACACCCTATTCCCCTTTGGCCTCCTCACATGTTCTGCGCGTGCACATGGTTTTCCTTTAAAGCCGGATTCATATTTTCCAACTGCCCCCTAACTCATACCAATGGAGGGCATATGGTGTGCATTGATTATATTTGTCAGTTACGTATGCTTCACGTACTCAGCCGCCAAAAGAGCTGTTGTGGGTCCATCCTATAAGAGTCTTCGTGCTTCTTCTTCAGTGAGACATTGAGAGCAATTGGAACTCTTGTACATTCTCACCTTTTTAATTTTCCCTAATCTTCAACTTTTTTGATACGATTCTTTGCTCTAGAGCATTTAGGTTAGAGCCAAGTATTTCAATTTCACTTCTATCGTTTTTGTATTTTGAGGTGGAGGAATTTCAACCTAAGTCTCTAGGGTTTTTCGTGAACGCGTCTATTCGTGCTCGGCTTGTTTTTTTGTGTTTGAATTTTGCTTTTCCCTAGTGGCTAGAAGACTCAATTACTTTTTAAATTCGAATTTGTACATCAATCATCGTAGCTTCCCAATTATGGCAATTGACTCTGACCAATCTCCTTGTGAGAACGTCTCGATGCTTGTTGCTCAAGTGGATGCGGCCAACGAGGACTTTGATTCAATCCAAGAGATTGGGGTTTGACCCTAAGAATCATTGGGGCCAAGAATTTTCATAGCTACTTGAGCAAAACCTCTCTTGAAGAGCTAAGGGCTCAATATTCAATTCCTCACTCAGTGTGCTTGCGAGTCCCCTCCAATAATGAGACTGCCAATTCATTTTTTTTTAGACGAGGCTTGTTTCTATGAGTCTACCTTTAAGATTGGACTCTGATTCCCAATCCCTCAATACCTTAGGTAGTCGCTTTACTTCTTGAACTTGCCCGTACCCAACTAACGCCCAATAGTTAGGGCTTTTTGATTGGTATGGGCGTCATCTAAGCTAGGGGAAATGGTGCTAGTGTTCAACCTACTTTTTTTGAGCTAATGCAGTGTTACAAGCTCACTCCTTACTCTGGTCAAGGCTTGGGGTGATTTTATTTTTCAAAAAGGGAAGGTCCTATCCTGTTGTTTGGCTATTCCTCAAATGTGAAGGAGTGGAAGGACAAGTTTTTCTTTATTTGGGGTTCTGGCTAGAAATTTGGGCCTTTTAAAGATCCTTCTAGTGACTCTTTTCGTGTTCCCCACATTTGGGAGACACCCACCCCTTTTCCAAGTAAGTGTATTTTTGATAATTCCTTGTACTGTCTCTGAGTTCTTGTATTTACCATTTGGTAAATCAAACCCCTTGTCTTCTGATTCGAAGGCTCAGATCAAACTAGTGCGTGACTATCCTACAAAGGATTCCTTTGAGCTAGTGAGTGATCAGACTCTTTTTGAGTGCCTTTTAGAACCTCCACCAGGTGGCTCTACGACTTCACCTTTAGCACCTTCACTTCAAAAAGGTATAAGCCTTTTATTATTTATGCTTTCAATTCTTGACGTGTTCTAACCTCTGCAACTTTTCTTCTATGGCCCCGAAGGTCGTTGACCAAAAGTCCCTTCAGGCTGTTGTAGCTAGGAGGGCATCTGAAACAAGTCCCATTTCTCATAAGAGGCTGAGAATGTCCTTTCCTTAGGGTAAGGGGGTGCCCTTAATCTCTGAAACTTCTCCAACTTCCTCCCCCTTGCTTATGTCACTTCTAGGGGTGGCGACACTCCTACTGTTAGAACGGGAAAGGTTAAACCACTTCTCCCTATAGAATTTTTTCTTATTCTTTCACATGTGAAAGGAAGAGTAAGACCTAGGGGGTTACAAAAAAAAAAAAAGACCCATGCTCTACTATCCCTCCGCCAAGCTCCAAACATGTTCCCTAATCCATGTGGGACAATTCAGAGGAGGCAATGACTCATCTTCATCAATTTGTTCATAAAGACGAGCTGCAAGCCACCTTTGACTTTGGGCCACCCTAGGTAGCCAAGAATTTGGCCCTTGTTGTTAGAAAAGTACACCCTTGATTTCCTGTGAGTTTGCTTATTTTATGTTTTGTTTTTAATATTTCTTTCCCTATTCCAACTTGCGATCCTTACCACGAGCCTGTCCTACTCGGCCCTAAGTGATAAGAAGTCTTATGAGGAAGAATTCCAATCTCTTCATTACTAGCTGGAGGTGAAGGAGGAAGAAATAACTTCTACATATAAGGAAGTTTTTGCTTTAAGGAGACTGCTAAGAAGGCTTTGCATAAGCTTTCCTCCATTGAGATGGACAGGGACAAGGTCTATAGGTACAACGATGAGTTACTGACTAGACTGAATGGGGTTATAGTGGAGCTCTCCAAGATTTTTATGATGAATAAGGATCAAGAGAGCAAGAAGGAGACTCTTTCCCAAAAATTCTTGGAGCTTTCTATTTCCTCTGAGAAGAAGAAGGTGAAGTTGAAGACAGCTAAAGCCCTGGCCTCATCTTCGTATCAGGATTCTACAAAGTTCAAGGATGAGATGTTGGAGTGTTACATTAAC